TATAGATAGGGTCTTTTACATTGCTAAGTTGCCCAGGCTCGGATGGAATTCACAGTCATTCTGCCTTAACATCCCAGAGTGCTGGGATTATAAGAGTGTACCACCAGGCTTGGCGGGCGTTGGGATTTTTGAAAGCTGCCCTGGTATTTGTAAGGTATAGCCAAGGTTCAGCACACTTAGCCTAAGCCTGAGCACAAAAAACAGGTTTATTGGAAGGCCGGGGATTTAGCTCAGTGGTTCAGGCACTTGCCTCACAAGCACAAGGTCCCAAGTTCGATTCCCGATACAAAAAAAAAAAAAAAAAGCAGGTTATTGGAGTGCTTTGTAATAATGCTTACGACTTGCGAGCAGGTTCTTGGGAGGTGAGAGTGGAAACAGAAATAGTGATGAGGTGACGAGCAGACGACACAATATGTGGGGAAAAGCAGCCATCAGGGAAAATTTAAAGCTCTGTATGGGTTCAGGAAACATCAGAGTTTGTGGAGATTGGCGTGGACAGTGTTAAGAGAGAGAGAAACTTAAAAAAAAAGGCAGAAATATCCTTTCTCCCCGTATGTCATAGGTTTCTGCCAGCCCTGGCTAGGTGGAGAGAGCAGAGCCATGGCGTCTATCTTTGTGTGACTTCTATTGGCCCTATCACATGTCAGCATCAATACACATTCATCAAAGTGAACACAGAGTCCTGCTCTTTAAACTCTAAATTAACGCTTGACATCAGACACATTCATTAAGAGCCAGCGGTGTGCTAGTCATAGCAATCGTTAAGCCAATTCCAAATTATAGATTGTACTCCTGTGAAATCGTGTCTTCATGGCAGAGCGTGCAAGCCACAAATAATAAGCTTTCTCTCTGCCCGTATGTGCACTATTACACTCATTAAAATGCATTCCATTTCTCTTTAATTTGTAAACAGGAGCAAGCAGTCAATAGTGTCTCTGTGACTTCTTTATTCCCTTGCCTTTTCATATAATCTGCAATGCCATCTCTCTGCTGGAAATGGATATTTATTTCCCCATCTTAAATAATTAAATGTGTGTCATTTTCACCATCTTCTAGCGACCTAAGCCCACTCTGAAGTGAGCGTCCATTTTAGTTTCCTGTTGTTTCATTTCCAGCTTCTGTTTCTTCCAAGATATAAAAAAGTCACATGGTCAAGTCCACTGCAAAAAGTATGTGGTGCAATTTATTTTTATATAAATACCATGTCTACTTTCAAAGAATCAGCCTTGGACTATAAACATATTTGAGTGAGGGAGAAAATGTAAAAACAACTTGTTTTTGCTTTTGTGCTGTACATGTAAAAGTCATTACTTTTTTATTTTCATCCTGAAAGTGTTCCTTTTCCATCTGTACAATGCCCAGACCCATCAAGGAATTTTAAGCAATATGGGCAAAAAGCTTTTATGTTTTTCTCTCTTCTTATAAGTAATATTGAGTTGAAAGTTTCAGGCTAAAATTTCAGGCTACATTGTGAATGCAGCATGTTCATGGCTCTTCCTGGACGTGTATTTTTTAGTATATTGTAGATGGGAAAATGTACTTTGCACTTGGGTTTTGAAAGCAAGCTTTGGAAAATGGCATTTTGTGCCCGAGTTCGGCTTTTACCAAATCACATTTGCAGATCCACCATGCACAACTGCCATCTGGTGCACACAAGTGTTCGTGGCTTGGAATTCCAAGGCATGCCATACTTGTCCCCGCTGAGTCAGATGACTTTGAGACACCTGCCTGCCTCTCTCTATATCCCTGTCTTGGGGATTCCACAAAAAGGATAGAGAAGAACATGGACTAGACATAGGACCCGGCAAGATAGAAAAAAAGGAGGACATAGGCAAGCCACAGGCACAATAAAGAATGGATTCCTTTGCCTTGGGTATTTACCCTTTTCCCACTCTGGATTTCTTCCTTCTCCTCAGTACTTGGCCCTTGCCTCTGCTCCCAGGCCCTGGTGCCTGAAGGTGATGTTGTGCTTGTTCTGTACTGGAGCCCCCTCGGCTGAGCAGGCCCTGCCTCCAGCACACTCTGTACCCCAAAATCACTTTCTCTCACCTCCTACCTTCTCCCTTAACCAGGCTTCCATCAGGGTAAACACTGACAAATTAAAATGATAGAAATAATTCATGTTTTAAAAGCCTTGCTCATTGCACAAATTACAACTGAGGCATTCAGCATAAACATGGATTTAATTGTTAGCGCCATTTTCTCCCCCACTTCACTAATGATTTCTCTCTCAAGGCTTGGATCCAAGGCCACCTCCCTGTTCTGCCCACTGAGATGCACCCTATTCTTACCACACACCCTTGGTGGAATGAATCCTTTCTTAGCTGATACTATTGCAATTTCCTTTTTTTTTTTTTTGGTACCAGGGATTGAACTCGGGTCCTTGCGCTTGCGCAGCAGGCGGTGAAACCACTGAGCTAAATCCCCCGCCCCAATTTCCTCTTTCTTTTACGATCTCCATGCTTGGAGATCAAACATGCCAAGCACATGCTCCACCACCCGACATCCAACCTTTCTACCCCCTCCAGGGAAAATGCTGCATTTTGCTAAGGTTTGCATCCCCAAATATATAGATCGGAATTGATAAGCATGTTAGTGTTATACATTTCTTTGTGTGTGAATTGACTTTTTTAAAAAATGGGCCGTTCTTTAATTTTCAGTCATAGAAACCTGTTAAGTTGGAGAAATGATTTTAATTTGTCTGGTAGAAGCTAATACTCAAAGGAAAAAATGTCTACTTATCTAAATATTGTACTGGGGGCCACTATGTAAAATAAATGGACCGAAAAAATGGTAGCATCCCTCTATAAGAACAAAGATTTGTGTTCTTTTTGACAAATCTAATAGGTTTTTCTTCTTCAGTTGAATGATGTACCCTGTTTTCTCTTTTGTTGTCATTAACAAGGTCGTGTTTGGCTATTTTTAGCGTCAAGATCATGCGGAAACCTGAAAGTTGGGCAAGAAAAGGATTGTATTTACCAACAATGCCTACTTTCCTAGAATGAAGAGAAACTTTACTTATAGTGTTTCAATATGCACAGCTCAAGTTTTAACACTACGAAGAGGTATTTTGCTGGAAACCAAGAAACCTATTATTTCTTTTCTCATTCAACATCTGCTGAATAAGAGTAAATATTTCTTAATTTAGAGAAAGGTGAGGTTATTTTTCAAGTGAGTCCTCCAGATTAATCTACTGCAGTGGATGCTATTTCCTTCATCCTGTGTCTGTCTTAAATATAGGACCTGCATAGATGACGCAGATACAAAAATAGCTTAAGATGTAAATACGTGCTACTGTCTCACATGTAAAAGATGAGTCTTGATTATGATATAAAAGTGGCTATTTTCTTTAATTCTTTCAGCAACAGTCAGTGTCCTTATTTTCATCACATTGTTCCTATATTTGGAATGTAATTAATGGAAAGGTTTAGCTTTGCCCTTCGGAAAATTTTCATTTTTCTACTAGGCTTGAGTAGCGCTTGCTCATATAATAAACCAGTAGTCTGTTTTTAGCTACTTAGGCATCTATTTCTTCTCTGATTCATTTATTTTGACGGCTTTTCTTGTTCACGAAGTAAGAAATGTTATCCCCGTGATGTGCAATTTCCACTTTGGAGATATCAGAACCCCAGCATTCGAGAGATACATGATGAAGGAATGATTCAGCTCTGGACATCTCATACTAGTAAAGAACCCAACAAAATATCCAGGGTCCAACATACTTCAATTAAATTTACATATAATTATCATGTATGTAAACATGTAAATATTATCATGTGCAGTGAGAGCCCAGCTCTGCCTAAACTGGCTTCCTCAAGCCCACTGCCCCATCTGTTTGGTAGGAATATCATGCCCCCTTCTTGTATCTCACTAAAAGTGAACTGGTAAGCTCACATTTGGAGGTCACTTCCTTGCTTCTAATGTGAACGATTTGAGAAAGGACACATAAGTTAAAAACAGAAAAGTAGGAGCCAAACTTCCAAATCAGAAAACTCATCTCCCAGCAAAAGAAACCAGACAAGAACTCAAAGCAGCCAGAGTCCAGAAGTTGCCGACCCACAAGCAGGGAGACACCAAGAGATTAATCTTCCTGTCATCACACAGAGCTCTGTCTTTTCAGAAATAAGAAAGATTTTCAGAGCACTGCAGACTGCTGCTTGGAGCTAAGATTTCTATGAAGTTGAGATCCCGGGGAGAAAGAAGGAATCAAACACAACCTCACCACCAGAACAGAACAAAGCAGTCTTCAGGATCAACAAATGGACTCATGAGCTGTCCGGTCACATCTCTGGGCAGGGGCTCCAGCTGTGAGTTCAAGGCCACAGAGCAATCTTAGTCCATTTCTCCCAGCTGTCACAAGATGCCTGGAGCTAGCTGCTTTATAAAGGAAATACCTTTAGTTAGCTCACTGTTCTGGAAGTTTGAGGGCATGACTCTAACCTCAAGGAAAGTGACGACCAAATGCAGACAATGAATGCTACAAAGGTCATGTGATAAGACAGGAAGCCAGAGGGGTCAGATATGCTCTTTCACAGGCAATTCCATCTTGAATGAACTAACTCGCTCTAGGTGACCAGCATTATTTCCTTCCCAAGTCAATACCTGCCATGACCTAACTGCCTTGTGTTAAAGCCCTAACACCTAGCCATCTGCTCTTAGTAGACCCAAGAGGCTCCACTTCTGAAGGCTTCTCCAACTTCTCCATGATGCCACAATGAGGTGCAACTTGTCAGCACATGGACCTTTTGAGGGATACACTCAAATCATGTCCACAGGCCACTATCATAAGAAACCAGATGTTCCCTCCTATTTGTGTCACACTTTTCCATTTTGGGGGTCTATAAACTCTCCTAGGTCAAAGCGGAGGATGGAAAAACTCTTTTCTACAAAGGACTAGATGGTAAATATTTTTGGCTTTGAGGCCAGATGGTCTCTGCCAGATGTGGCTCTGTTGCCTGAAAGAAGATTCACATGTTATGTAAATGGAGAGATGGACATGGCGGTGTTCCAATAATACTTTATTGAAAAACAGATGACAGACAAGATATATCTCACGGACCGTACTTTGAAGATTCCTGGGCCCAAGACTAATCTCTGCTACTCATCTATTCCACATAACTTCAACAACTATCATTCCCAAACATTTCTTGATACATTTTGATGTTTCATATCCATCTTAGTTATTAGTTAAATGTGATTTAACATTGTTCTAAAAAGTCACTACTACTAAAATCTCTAGCATTCTCTCCTATACCTTAGTAAGTAGAAAACTGAAGAGGGGATCCTGGTTTTTCCAAGACTGATCTCTGTCTTAGGGTCTTCACCTCTATCATCTGTCTCTCCGTTCACCTGACCTTTGGTTTTGAAATACAAGAAAACTCAGCCTCAGCCAGCTGCTCAAGGTCACATATCCAGTCTACAGCAGACCTGAGAAGACAAGATCCCAGCTTTCTGAAGCAGGGTCCAATCCTCTTTCTCACAGACAGTCACCCTTGCTCAGACACGGGTCCACATGCAATCCTTGCGGCACTCCCCCTTTTCCATCAATGTTGTATAATGTTTGTCGCGTTATTTTACCTTGGTCTACAATGGCTCCCAGTCACCCAAAGCAGTTGTGCAGCAAATTTAAATACGCAAAGCTCTCTTCCTCTTGAAAAGGAATTGCCTACATCATCAGAATTAAAGGGTGGTTTCCTAGAGTGATAAAATCCTCCTTAACTGGAAATCTGCCAACCCTTTTTTTGTGTTGTTTTTTGTCAGCTCTTTTCTTTTTAGACAAGTCGGGTCCAGCTTCCGGCTGTCCCAGATAATGCCGGCAGGACACTCAGAAAGACATATAAAGCCCTTCTTTTTACACTGGATTTTCAAGGGCTTTGGTTGACAGAGATATTGTGTTTTGTATTCCATTCTGCTATGTCTGTGAGCAATTTCTTTATATGACCTCCCCTTGCAGTGACAGGTGCGGTTATCCGTTTCCCGGCGGCAACCCACGCAGTGTCTGTCTGCAGAGAGCGTGATGATAAAGGGGCGGCTGCTCGGGTTACTTCCTATTTTGCGCAGCGCCTCTTGCTCAGATGCATCTTGTTCTTTTATTTTTTCCTTGTCCAGTTGCTCTTGGATTTAGCACCATAACCTTATGTTCAACGTTTAACTAAGGGGTCTACGGTTGAGGCAAAATGCTTAGAAGCATAGTAGTCTACCTTTTGATAGAAAACGCCACGTTGCACATACAGTTCCGAATTAAAACAACTGCACTGTTTTAATTTCAACCATTGAGCAGACGAAGAGAGACAGTTCCACGTTCTGTTTATGGGGCTTAAAATCAGTTACTTACCTTTCATCATGTTGACAGCACATAATTTTTACAAATGTATGGGTATATTCATTGAATATGTTTCCTTGAAAGACAATGAAAAAGAGAAAATGCATTAAACATTGATAAGCATGCATGTGCACATGCACATACACACATGCAAACACGCACACACAGGCATTTCTCAGAAAACTCTATGCCAACCTTGCAGTTTGCGTGTTGCTTCTAGCTGTAAGCCAAGCTGCATAATGCACACATTTTCAATTCATGGTATGCAAAAAGGAAAACAAGAAAAAATCATGTTATGGAACATGGATTTTGCACTCCAGAGATGGTTCGCCACCTCTATTCTTTCTGTCACTCAGTCAAAATGACTTTGAGGGAGAACACCTGGGCACTTTGATGACAGACGGGCTCTGTGGTATACTGCAAGTGAGAAAGATTCTTGTGTCGCACGGCAGAAAGATGGCAGTTAGCTTAAAAATCCTTAGCTGGTGGCTAGAGCTTAGGATATCCAGTCACCGATAACCTCCGTGATAGTGCCTTTCAGTGCCTACTACTTGAACCTGGAGTTAAGGAAATGTTCCTAAATCACAGCTTAACCAGGGGCTTTCCCTTTTCAGATTACACTTATACTTAGAAAAGTTATTGTTCCCTATGTCATTTCCTCTGAAGTGTCCTATGCAGTGAAAGGAATTCATCAGCAATGAGCAAACCTATTAACCAGTACTTGGCTTATTTATGCCCACATCAAAAATGGTGCTACATACAATGTCACCATATTGCTTTGAAATCCATGACAATTCCCATTTGTAGGAGAAGCGCAAATGCCTGCAATGATGTGGAAGTGTGTCCCCTCTGGAACTCAGGCTGAGCCTCTATTTCCATATTAGAGTGTTATTAAGAGGTGGGGCCTTTGGAAGATAATTCCAAAGATGAGGTCATGAAGGTAGAGCTCTCATGATGCCATTTGTGGCTTTATAAAGACAGGAAGAGGGATCAAGCTGGCACACTTGCTCTGCCTGTCCATGTGATACTCTCTGCAATGCTGTGATGCAGGAGGAAGGCCCTCACCAGATGCCGAACAGATACTGGCACCGTGATCTCTGACTTCCAGAACTGTAAGCTAAATGAAACTGTTAATAAATTATTCAGCCTGTGCTTTTCAGTTACAGCAACAGAAGAGTAATAGTAAGGCCCTGTCCACCAGCCCTCTCCATTTCGTGATGATCATTTATTCTTACTTCTAGTAGCCCAGTAGTATACGCTACCCACAGAAAAGCACACCTCTAACACAGTACCTTAGGATCCTGGGGCAGCAAAGACACTCAGCCTTAGACCTAACCTAACCCTGCAGGTCTCTTCTCCTTTGCCTTTCCCGCCTACTGAGGCCAGCTATGTGTTGAAAGACAGGGTATAATTTTCCACATTGGGCAGACCTGGTTTTACTCCTGGCCCTGCCTCTTAGTTACAGCCATTGCAACTGACTTACTTCCTGCTATACTTTGGATTTGACTCTTCCCCGAACACTCTGTGTTGAATGCTTGGTTCCCAGCCTGTGGTACTATTGCAAGGTGGTGAAACTTTTAAGAGGGAGGGCCTAGTAAGAGGAAGTTGAGTCACAGAGGGTGTGGCCAGAAGCAGATATTGGGCTCCAGTCCCTTCTTTTATCTTTCTCTTTGCTTCCCAGCCACCCTGAGGTGAGCAGCCTCCTCTGTCATGTAAGACTGCCACGATGTACTGTGTCACCACAGGCTCAAAGCAGCAAGACCAAGTGACCATGGAGTGAAACCTCTGAAACCATGAGCCAAGATAAACCTTTCCTCCTTTTAATTTATTCCTCCCAGGTATTTTCATAGTAATGAAAAGCTGACCAACACATTCTCTTAGGCTCAGCTTCCTCCTATATAAAATGGATGTGCTGATATTTACCTCATGGGTAAGATGAAGACTCACCAGAGAATATTTATGGAGTGCTCAGAAAAATGTCCAGTCTTAAAAAGGTGTGGTATGATCTGAAGTGTTTTTATATCTCCTTGTATCTCCCACCATGGCATGGCCATCACCAATCTTTCACCAACAAACAGAAACAAGATAATTCACATCCCACACCACAAGACAGCCTTCAATCAGAACGACATTGGCAAAGCATCCAGAAGTAGCTCTTGGATCTCCATTTTCTTCCACAGAGAAGCCTGGAGACACAATTTTATTAAAATAAGAGAGGATATATTTTCTTTTGAGAATAATCCAAAGCTCCCCACCCTAACAGCACCATATCCTCAATTTCATGAATTGCCAATATCCATGAACATTTATTTGTGTCTCACCACCTTCGTCCCAAAAGCCTTCCTTGAAAAGAAAATCTTCCAGCAAATGATGAGCTCTCTAGAGGAGAGACGGAAAAGCAGACAGGATAAAACCATATCCACATTAGATACAATGGCGGTTCCTCGCTCAGCTGAGTTGTGTCTGTATACCTCAGTGCTTTGGTGTTCCACATTTCCGTCGGCTGCTTGCTTCACTTCAGAATCAGGAGCAGACTAAAAAGGAAAGAGAATATGGGTTGGAACATTCCAAACACCTACTCATGGTCGAGGAACATGAAAAGAAAGTGGTAATTTTCACTGTCAACTTTTTTTACCTGTTGTCACGAGGTGATTTTATTCACACGCATCGAGTGACCGGGAGGAGTCAGGATGTCCTCATTAATATCTGCAGCCCCATATGGCACCTTCAGTGTGACAAGTGTAGGCATGCTAATTTTCTTCAAGAAAACAACATTGAACCACATTTGTTGTGAGAGGTGAGAGACAGGTGGCCTGGCTTGTCCTTCTCAGAAAGCCTTATGGTTTCCAGATTTAGACCACCTTGTGAGGTCGGGTGAAGGCTGTGGAATGCGGACTCTGCTTAGTTGATAGACTCCACTTTCCTATTTCCTCTATGATGACTAGAGCAAAGTTCAGGCTCTTCCCGGAGTTTGTGAGCCAAGTGTGGAAGAACAGGACAGCAGAGGAGAGATCAGACATATTGAAAGGAATTTTAGGGAAATGACTTCTGGAGGCTTCAGATGACTGCCTAGCTATTCGGTTTTCTCTGCCAATACTTTTTTCTTTGCATGTCTAGTAATCTAACTCTGGATTCAGAAAACATACTGGCTCTTCAGTGCACTTGAATTACAAACTTGGATGTATCTAACCTCCCTAAGCGGAAGTTCGCTAATGTATGCAACAGAAATGACTTCATTCAACGCACACTCACGGTCCAAATGTGGAAATGGTGATCAATGGCTACCCTGCATGAATTCTTCCCACCCTTTTGCAATCTCATGACATTCATCTTATCCTTGTCTACAGATGAAGAAATGGAGGTTCAGATAAGTACTTTGTTAGATTTGACAGGTTAACTTCTCAGGCACAAAGGTGAGATGGCCAGAGTTATACATGGCTTCCAAACCTGAATCTGCACACTTGCTATCACCTCATAGCTGTATTAAAATGTTAAGACAATTGAGCAAAAACAGTCTATGGGAAATACGCAGCCCAAGGACAGTTGCATGGGACACAATCACAAAATATTTAGAAGCTTTCTTTCTTCCCAAACTAGTAATAATTCTGTGGTCCAGAACACTTACCTCCAGTCTCTGTCCCTCATGATTCCCCTCTCTTGCTCCTATGACTTTTGTCCTCTTTAGATTCCATGTAGTCCATCATACTACTGCACCTTGGAGCACTCTGCAAAACCATCTTCTTGGGCCTGAGGGAGAAGCTCGGTGGTGTAGAGCATGTGTTTATCATACATGAGGTCTTGGATTCAATCTCCAAAACAATCTATCAATGGATGTTAAAAATTTCTTCAGCCAGGAGGCGACATCAACTATTGCTCTTCCTCATGCAAGCCTTATTCCGGATCATTCCCTACTTCAGAACGTGTAAACTGTTTGCAAGTAAAAGCTTAATGCTTCTCTGAAATTGCACTTTCCTTATGTAAAGTGTCCATTCAACAATTGCTGCTTGATCGATATGCTGAGTATAAGCCTTCATGTGGATGAGTCTATGAAACATTTTCATTGCTCCCCAAAACTGAATTTGTAACAGGGGAGGATGGCATAGTGGCAGATTATGGGGATGAAAGGAGATAGAATCCCCTGAGGAGGGCAGTGGGGTGGAGTTAGTAGCTACAGGGCCAGGAGATCCCTGTCAACTCACCCTCCACCCTCTCAACCTCACAGCATGGCTTAATGTGGTGCAAGATAGGACCCTATTTCAAGGCAGGGACAAATATAGTTCTTCAGTTCTTTTTTCTAATTTTGTATGGGTTATCTATAGAAGTGTAAATGGTTCACAACAAGGGATTGCTTCCCAGAGAAGTACATGTAAGACAGAAATCTCCAGATTTATCTGTTGCTTAACTTTGAAAACCAGAAGGTTTTTAAAGGTAAGAGAAGTTCTGAGAGGGTCATTTTGGAAAATGTTTTTGATCTTCTTGTACACAATCATCAGCCTCTTAAGAAACTGGGATTATACTGAAATTAGATTATGTGGGTTTTATTCTTCTGGCTCTGTAAATACAATGGCAGGCTTGAAGTCTAAGAAGAGAACCGGGTAAGATGAAATTAGAGTTGACTTTAGAAAGAAAAGAATGAAATGTAAAGCTTAAATTTGGATTGACAAAACTTAAATTTGGATTGGAATTATTAAAAAATGAGCCTGACACTAAAAAATAATCAATTTTCTGGCATGTGAAAATATGGACACTTTCCCAGAATGCAGAAAAATAGGACAAATAGATTAAAATCATAGGAGATTAAAATTATAAAGTGACAAAGAGAAGAATCAACTTATAATTAGTGTTCTTGAAGATGATTTGAAAGCAAATGGAGCAGAAATAATAGCCAATAATAATAATGTAACAAAAGGAAATTTTTCTAAAGTGAGAAAACAACACAATTGCTGATTGAATGGCTTAACTTGGGTTTCAGGAAATGTTCATAAAAATAGAACCGAACCCAGATGTGCTGTGTCACCATAATTTAAATGGAAGTGAAGTAACATCTACAACTACCCTAGCAAACAAAAGTGTGGCTGAGCTGGTCTACAGCTTCTTTGTAACACTAAACAATAAAAGATCAAATAACATCTAAAGCATGTTGACAGGTAACCAAAGGATTCAACCGGAGAGATTTTCTTCCAGTGTGAAGCAGGTACAAAAATACCTCTGGCATTCTGTGGTCCACACTATGTACCATTCAAGCAAGTTTTCTGAAAAAAAATGACTTGAACATATATTTCAGTTGACCAAGATATAGATTAAAATAGTGACTAGAAAACTGATCTGGATGGAGAACTCGATTAATCTATTCAGCTTTCCATGTTATTGAAATGTGATTGCAACTGAAGAATGAACTCCACAGTATGATTGGAAAGGGTTAAATGGTAAAAAATAATAATAATAATTACTGTAGTCACCACGATCTTATTATGTACCTACTGGATGCTATCCCTCTATAGTAGAGCTCATGTAAGTCTCATGGTCATTTAGATAAGTATTATGACCAAAATACATATAGGAAAAACATAGATGATAACATGTACCCATGATGACATGGGTATTTTGTAAGAAGTAAATTCAAGGCTGTAACACTAATGCCTTATTTCTAGTAGGATGGCTAATTAACAATGGTACCCTAGCCTTCTTACTTAGGAAAAAATCTAGACCAATAGTTTTCCAGTGAACCTACACATAAGAGTCATCCAAGGAGCCTCAAAAAATGTGCTTCTGTTTTCCCACCCCTGAGATTAGGATTTGATATTCTGCATATCATCTGCTATTCAGAGTTATGTTTCCATTGGTAGGCAATATTTGAAAGAGCATCTATATTTGTCTCCAATTTTTAATGATCTTTCAAAGTTTGGACCATGTACTCCTGCTGGGTGCTCAGCCCTTACATTTGGGGTCATGTCTCCATTACATTCAAGAGGGCTGTTTGTAAAGGAAGACATGGTCCCCTCACCTTCTTCAGCACGTTGCCACTACACCATGCTATTTCAATAGATTCAGACACATGTTGCACCTACAGTAACATCTTTTTTAAGCTCATATCCCCCAGCATTATTTCTGTATTATCCTCTTGCTTTTGGCTCTGTCTTATAAGACACATGGAATCATTTAAGTCAGGGATGGAAACTCAGATGCCTGTAGGAGACAGGCAGCTGTCACGTAGTCACGTCGGTATGATCCAGGCTGAGTGTGAACAACAGCAGCCAGGGATGTCTATAGTTGGAGAGTAATTGTTCACTGTAAGAGGAAGGTGGTACAGGAGGAGGAAACACAAAAGGAAGAGAAGGCATATGAAAAAGGATAAAGAGGAAAGAAAAGAAGGGGAGAAGAAAGAAGCAAGAAGGAGGAGCAGGAAGAGAAAGAGGAAATTTGAAAAAGAGAAAGTTAGTACTAGCTCCAGGCCAGTGAAACAATGCACACTTTTGCAGGCTAATGTTGTCCCTCCCCATCTCTCCCATCTTTGTTCCTGGTTATGCGTTGAGGAGGAAGTGTTAGAATTACAATCTATAACTTTAGAGAAATTTAAACATATCACTTTCTTTTCAGTATATGTTTCTATAGGAAACAAATACTGCTATATTGAGCAATTTTCAAGGCATATACCATATATTATAAACTGTATTACTGTTTCCTTCTTCTGTTAAAGGCCATCCCCAGGAAAGTGTAATGGGTGGAAGGTAAGGAGAGAGATGAAAACTCATCCTGCCCTACCTGGAAGACAAGTCACTGATGTGGACTACTTGTATTAAAAGAAAACAGTAAGTTTCTCTCAAGTAGCTTAAAAGGCTCTTTCTGTAAATTCATGCAAACCATATTTCACTCACATGTAAGGAACGAAAACCCCAACCCAAAAGGACCATGCAAAGGAGACAGTTACTATCTCCTCCAACTCAGGGGTTGACCAGTTGCTGGAAATGGTAACACCTAAACCAGGAATCATAAATAACATTTCACTGTATCCAGTGGCTGCCATGCAAGTTTTGCTTATTGGAAAATGGTGTTATAATAAAAGAATAATAATAAAGGAAGTCTATAGACATTTTCTTTATTCTTGACAGAGCGGTTGCTCAGAAAAATTCTTCCCTGAAATTCTTTCACAAAAACACTTGGTTGTTTTATACACACCAGCAATGAACCTAAAAGAAAATAGTATCAGAGATCTTGAAAAGAGTATATCAAAAAAAATGTAAGTTGAGCGTATCACTTATTTTTTAAAAGAGATTTTTAGACTAATAAGTCCTTAGCCAACTTCTGCTTCTAATTGGCATTTGTTATCTTTGTCTGTTTGATAATAGCCATCTGAGCAGGTGCGAAAGGACAACTCATTGTACCTTTGATTTGCATTTCCATGATGATTAGTCATGTTGAGCAACCTTCCATAATCAGCATCTATCAGTCTCTCTGTCTGCTTTGCAGATGTTAGCTGAAGTAAATAAAGAGAGTCATGGGAGGATGAATACTGCAGAGTCTACTGCGATGGTATGTCTAAAATAGTCAAAGCAACTTAAGCTTAGACTACATGGTGACTGCCAGGCACTATGGCGTGGTTGGAGTGGGGTGTGGTTTAATGGGTGTACAATTTCAATTATACTAGATAAATAAATTCTGTAGATCTGCTGAATAGCATCATATCTTGATTTAACAAAATGTTCTTGTGTAAACTTTAAGTGTGGAGATCTCATATTGAGTGTTAAGTGTGCATGCTAAGCACATAACCTACCACTGAACTACCCCATCAGCCCTATGCCTGTTATAGTCGACCTACTTGAAAAAAATTGTAGTATCAATGGTAGAATTGAGAAAAGGATACTATTAAATGCAAGAAAAGAAGCTAGCAATTTATTTAAAAATTAGTAGTATATCTTATTTTTTATTTCTGAAAGCTATATTATGTATAGCAAGGGCAAATCCAGAAATGCACTTTAAAAAATAAAGCATGTATATTTAAAAAGTCACAGCTAGATAATGGGACGATTTTTCCATTTACAAACTGTTAATCCGTATTAAAGGAGTCCTTGCCAAAAAAGAACTTGGAATCTTTCATGAATTTATAGGCACTGTTTGCCAACCTGATCCAATTTTTCTCTTGTTGAAACTGCTTCATTAATTTAATGTGCAAGAAATAAATATTTGATGTGCAATTAGTTGGAGATTATTATGGTCATAATGGAACCTTTCCAAATAAACAGCTGCTCCAGCACTTTAAATGCATGAAAAGCAAGACACAAAATAGAAAGTATAATGAAACACCAGCTCTACAGAGGAAAAGTGCTAAAATATTCAATTAATGAGTGAGATGGCTGCTCGTTTAGAAGTTTGGTGGTGGTTTATCAAAGCATAACAGTATAAAAGCTGCTAAACTTTAGCCAAGTATCTATCTACCTCAATTTTCATGGAAACATTTGCCTACAGATATAATATTGTCCTAGAAGAAAATATTATGGAAGTAGATGTTAACCAATTCTAATTCTTTCAGATTATTCATTATATATGTGTATATATATATATATGTTTGCTGTATTTATATATTTTTCATACAGATATAATTATTCTACATTTGCATTTCTGTACAAATTCTAAATATTGGTATACATAGCCACATATGAATTGTAATGATTTCACGTTGAGAGGTAATGATGTTTATTCTTAAATATCTATGTTGCTTTGTTTAAGTTTGAATGATCCTAGGATGGCACAGAGTACTCTCACACTGCCTGCAGGAATTCATGTCATTAAAGGACTTAAATCCCTGTAAGCTGTATAAAAGTTTACTTTCATGTCAAGGCAGACTGTGAGGACTAGAGCTGTCTCTCTCCCCTACTCCACTGGGAACCTCTTGGGGGCAGAGACCATAGCTACCATCTCAGTATCTCCAAACTCTGCTGTGGTTCCTGACATGAAGTAGCTCATTACATGGTCACTGGAAGGGTGCCTAAAGCTATTTGCCATATAGGCAGCAAAACAGATAAACATCAAAGGGTGAGCATTACAAGCTCCATGGAGAAGTTTCTTCTACTGAGAAGGGAGCAAAGGGAAGCAAATCTTCTGCCATTTTCCTCTATTTGGGGCTCCATAGAAAAGGCAGAAGGGACTTCCAACTAGGAAAAATCTGGCTGTAATTATGACTCAGGTTTGAATGTCAAAATGGTCAGTGGGAACTGTGCACAAGAACCAAGGTACTGATATATATTTTTGGAAAGCAAACTCAAGCAAAGGTGATCATCATAAGGCCTTTATCTCATTTTATGGTGTAAGTCTTCAGTTGATTACAGTTTGCTTTTTTTCATTGCTCTAAAAAAACTGCCCACTGCTCTAAGAAAATTCAGATTCTGTTATTTTTTTCCTGTGCTTCCTGCAGTCTTTGAAAGACTCCCCCCACCCACCACTCCCTCCTGGCTGTCACAAGGTGATGAGGTGAGCAGCTTTCCTCTGCCTAACCTTTCCACAGTGACTTTTCTGGCTCCCTGTGGGGCCAGAAGCAATACACCCAAGTAACTATGGATTAAACCCTCTGAAACATTGAGTCAAAGTAAACCTTTCCTTCTTTATATTGATTTTCCTTAGGTATTTTCTCACAGCCATTGAAAGCCAAGTAACACACACACACACACACACACACACACACACAATATGAATTAATTAATGAAGAACGGGGGCATTAAACTAGTGTTATGTGTCCCAGATAACCCAGAGACAAATGTAGTGGGTGGGTATGAACTATCTCGCTAATACAATGAGGCTGACCATCTTTAGCGCTCATCCTGGAAATAAGTAGAGTTAACACACTCTTCACTGGATTCCGGGTGAACCTGCGATTGGAAAAGGCAGGAGGGATGGTAAGTGTCTCCCCAAACTAGGAAATTATAGACTAAATATACAAGAATGGAAAATAATATTCCATGGACCAGGGCCCCAAAAGCAAGCAGTGGTAGCAATTTTATTCTCAGACAAAGTAAACTTCAAACTAGAACTGATCAGAAGAGACAACGAAGGTCACCAGACATTACTTAAGGGAACAGTCCAATTTGAAGAGATTACAACTGTAACTATATATGCACCAAATTTTGGAGCACCTGGCTTTATAAAACAAACCCTGCTGAACATAAAAGACCAAATGAACACCAACACAATTACAGCAGGTGAACTCAATACCTCACTTTCACAAAGATGCAGATCAACTAAACAAAAAACCAACAAAGATACATCATGTAAAGGTGTCAGATTCCAACAATGAATGTAACTGTCATGTATACCTAAAACATACCAATAAACTTAATGGAAAAAAACAACAACAAAGAAACATCAGAGCTGAACTACACTTCTGAACAAATGGACTTAATAGACACCTACAGAGTATTCTACTGTACTACAGCAGAATACAATTCTTCTCAAGAGCACATAGAACTTTCTCCAAAATAGAACATGTACTAGTCCACAAAAGCTGCTTAAATAAATATAAAAGAACCAGAACCACCTCATGTATACTAGTAGATCATTGTGCCTTGAAACTAGAAATCAATCACAAAAGAAACCATAGAAAGTTTATAAACCCCCGGAAACTTAACTCCACACTCCTGAACAGTCAATGGGTGAAAGGAGAAATCAGACAACTCCAGGATCAAACAGCAATGCCACTACAGCATGCCAGAACATATGGGATATGGTAAAAACCATCCAAAGAGGGAAGATTATTGCAGTCAAACCTCACATTAGAAAATCAGAACAAGTTTATTTTTAGTTTAAGGAGGGAATTACAAAGATCAGAGTAGAAATGAATGAAACTGTGACTTTAAAAATATATTAAAAATCAGTGAATCAAAGAGCTGAGAAGTTTTTGCCAGCTATACCTCAGAGAGTGGACTAATATCTAGAATATATAAAGAACTTCAAAAAATTAGATCTCTCACAATAAAAGACTCAATCAAAATGGACAATGGAAATGAATAGACACTTCTCAGAAGAAATACAAAAAGCCCATAAATACCTGAAAAAATACGTTCAACATCATTGGCCATTAGAGAAATTAAAATTAAAACAACACGGAGATTCAATTTCACTTCAGGAAAAATGGCAATCATCAAAAATCAGACAATAACATGCTGGCAAGGTTGTGGTGAAAAAAGAACCCTTCTACATTGTTGTTGTGAATGTAAACTACTACAACCATTATTGAAAGCACTGTGGAGATTTATCAAAAAACTAAAAGAAAGTGCAGTGAACCAAGATATTTCCCTACTAGGCATCTTCCTGAAAGAGTTAAAGACATCATTTATAGCAATTCATGCATACTAATGTTTATAGCAGCACAAATCAGAATAGATAAATCTTGAAAGCCTGTATGTCCATCAATGAATGAAGAAAATGTGGTGTTTATACATAATGGAGTACTACTCTGCTATAAAGAAGGATAAATATGAGTCATTTGTAGGAAAATGGATGCACTTTGAAAACATATTAAGTGAAGTAAATGAGACACACAAGTGTAAATATCATATTATTTCTCTCAGATGAGAAAGCCAAAGTATAAATAAAGGCCAAAATAAAAGATAAAAGGAAATAGGGAGATAGGTCTTTTGCAAATGGAAAGGGGACCTGGAGGTTTAAAGAAGGGGGAAAGGAGAGAGGAGAAGTGGATACAAAAAGTAATTAAGATGTGTCATGTACATGTACTAAATGCCCCCATGGAAAGTATGGCAAACATGTACTAATTTTTTTTTTAAAGAAAAAAGTAGGAACTCAAAGGCAGTGCAGCTTCTTCCTAGTGTTGTGGTATTTTCTCCATGAGACATAAGGCCCCATGCTTTGTGAAAGCTAAGAAACATCATAGAGAGGTCATATATCAGGGTGCCCACCAGCTGCCCCATGGGATGCCCCAGGTGACCCAGGCTCGTTCCCAGATATGGAGTGACAAAGTTGCCCGATGATTTCTCCTCAGCTACCCTTCCAGCCAGCCAGATATCTGGCTAACTGCACACTACACAGTGAGGTCAGGAGATTTACTAAAAAAAAGATCTTCATATGAAACCAGAACTTCAGTCATTTCTGCTGCAAGGAACCTGATATTATACTGGGAGAAAATGGAGGCAAATATACAAATGAGTACTATAAAACAGTGCACAGGGGTACTGCACAAGTTATTTCTTTGACACATGCCTGTGTGCCAGGAACATTACCTGCTCACACCGGGGATGCAGTGGGGATAAAAACAGACACAGACCCTGTGGTCAGAGATCTTACATCCCAGTGGGTGTTGGTAACCAATGGGTATGTAAACACAAAGCCACTTCAGGGCCAGACGACTGCGCAAGCAGGCAAAATGAGGGAGCCGAGAGGAACTGGGACCTTAGACAGTGAAGGATCTAGATTATGTCACCCTAACAAGTTTATTTGACCTAAATATTATTTTTTAGTAAAGGCATTTGGGAAGCATGTAGTGGAGAAAATGGTCTTCCTATTCTCCAGCTTTTCTTTTTGGTACTGAGGATCGAAATTGGGTCCTCGTGCCAGCTTTTTTGGCTTAGAGGAAATAAATTCTTATCTGCTAAAGGCAGCTCTAGACACTTAGCCCAGAAATGAAAAATCTTTAAACACTGTGTTTTCCATAAGCTTTGTATTAGTCAGTGTTATGGCTTGTGTCTAGATGTTCCCCCAAAGCCTCATATGCTCATCGGTGGGGGTTTTCAGAGTGACTGGATCTAGGGTGTGTGAATGTGGATCCAGGGTGTGGGAATATGGATTTAGGGTGTAAAGACTGAATTAGTCTGCTGATTGGTTTAGCATAGTTCCAGGTATGGATAATGGAAAGCCCCACTCTGTGTGGGGTGGCACCCTCCAACAGGTTTGTAGCCTGGATGGGATAAAAGCAACAAGCAACCTTGCGCCTGCTGCTCCTTGCTCTTTCATTGCCTCCTGCCTGCCCTGCCATGGACTGTTTCTCCTCTGCAATGCCCCTCTGCCATTCCACCCTATCTTGGAGCCAGCTGAGCATGGACTGAAACCTCTACAAACTGTGAGCTAAAATAAACCTTTCCTCCTTTAACTTTGGGTGTCAGGTATTTTGTCTCCTCAATGAGAAAAGTTAACTAAGAAATCAGCTTTTAACTGCTAGGAGAAAATGCCTAACACACACAATTTAAAGGAGGAAGGGTTTCTATGGGGTCACAATTTCAGGGACTTTAGTCCATGCTGGACTGATCCAAGGTAGAAAGATCATAGCGGAGCATGGCAGAGGAAAGCTGTTTACCTCACAGTAGGTGGGAAGGTCAGGGGAGGGGAAAAGCAGAAGGACAGATAGAGGAAGGAGCTGGAGACGAGAATGCACCCTTCCAGGTCACACTCAGTGGACCACCTTCTCTTGTTTGGCTCTACCTCCTAATAGCAGTTTCAAATATGTTTTTATCAATGGGTTAATCCATTGATAAATGTTAAAATATGATTTCATCTATGAGTTAATCCACTGATGAATGTAACACCCCCATGATCTAATCACCTTCTGAAATCCCCACCTCTGAACACATGAGACTTTTAGGGTACATTTGGATCACACCATTACAAGCTTCATCCTATATATTTACCTTCCCAAATTTCTGTGTCCTTGGATACCCAAAACCACTTTCCTTTGTCTGTTAGTTCCTCCACAAAATCATGGCACCTTTGTGGGAGGTGCTATGGAAGTACCTTATAAGCCACTACTTTGGGTTACTTTTCTTAGAGGTTTCTCCTGCATGATTTGTGTAACATGCACTAATAGACTCATTTTCTCTTTTCAATCAGTCTTTTGTTACAGGTATCCGTCTCATTGAAAAACTCATGGATGTGAGGGACAAATTCTGTTTTCCTGACAATTAAATACAAGAAATTCTTCTTTGGTAAAGCAACATTTAAGCTGGGGCCATATGGTGAAACATTTGTGACCATGAAAATACATGAAGGTAGTGTAAGGGAACAGTCAATGGGCAGTCCTTCAAGAAACAAAAGCTTAGAATATAACCAACCAGTGAGAAATAGTGAAAGGAAGATCTTTTGGAGAAAGATCACAAGGGGTGCTTCTAAGCCATACAAAAAGCCATTTATGTGTCATTGTGTGCTTGGATTTTATTGTTCTGATTGTAGTGGACAAGATGATGTCATGTGAAAGAGTCTGGCAATTATTAGTGTGTTTTGTGTATAAATCACTTGGACTACTGGTGGTGCCAAGGTCAGAATAGAAAGAGAGAGAAAGCTGATCCTCATTATTTGAGGAATCCATATTGCAAATCCATCTACTCACTATAATGTAATTGCCACCCCTAAACAATACGCTCTGTGCTATCTAAATAATTTGTGGACTTGAATGAAGTAACAAAGTGCAATAGTAGATCCCCAGGTGAAGTTCAACAAATGGGTGCAGTGCCTTCCTGCTCCATTTCTTACACTGTAAACAAATGTCTCTTTTACCGTCTAACTAGTGCTGTGTCTTATGGATTTTGTGCTTTGTGTGTTTTTAATTATTTTTGTTGAGCTTAGTGCATATGATGGCCCCCCAAGAGAACTGCTGACATGCAGTCTAGTGTTCCTAAATGCATGAAAGTCACCATTCATCTTATGAAGGTAGTGCATATGTTAGATTGGCTCCACTTACTTGTGACTCGTGGTTGATCTTGCCTAGGAGTTCAATGTTAGTGAATCAACAGTAAGGTGTCTTTGTGCAGAAACACACATAAAACAAGGCTGTTTGTTGACTAATGAAAATGTTACAAGAGGGTTCTCAGGACCATAATGTTGTTTTTCTCCAGAGGCAGTGCCTCAGTATCCAGTGCATGTGTTGACTTTAGAGTTCATAACAATTGCAAATTATAAGTATGGACTGCATCCCAGTTACCAGGTGGGAGACAGAAGCTGTGGGCTCGTCAAAGAGGAATTGAGCTTGCTCTATGGTCAGAATTTAAGTGAACTGGATTTCAGGCCAGAGAAATAGAAACAGGTACAATCGGGTTGGGATGCTGAGTGTACAGCTAGGAAAGAACTCTTTCAGTAGAGAGGAAGTGAATCAGGTAAAGAGGCAGCATTGGAACTGCTCCTTGAAAGGCTGGGCCAATGCCATTGAGGTTTATTGGCTTATTGCATTGTGTTAGTCACCCTTATATTGGTGGGACCAAATATCTGAAACTTGTAAAGGAGAGAGTATTTATTTTGGCTCATGGTTTCAGAGGTTTCAGTCCATGGTTGGCTGGTTCCGAGGCAGAAGATCACGGGGGAAGAACGTGGCAGAGGAAAGCTGTTGAACCCATGGCAGGCAGAAAGCAGACAGAGTAGAAGACAGCCAGAGACAAGGGGTCAGGGACCATAGAGTCCCCAAACTCACATCCACATGACTCGCCCATTATACTAATGCTTTAGTAATCTAGGCATCTCTCAAGGTGTTCAAGTTGACCATCAAGATCAACCAACACTCACATCTACACGGGTGTTTATGGTGAAGGAATCTACTCACACAGCACAGAAATGGAATGCTGAAAACATTTATGACCAAAGCACAGCTATTTCTTTTAGTATTTTAAAGGATATGTCTGTTTTGTGTGTACATGTAGAGAACTTCAACCTTTATCTCACTGTCTACAAATACATTAACCCAAATGAATCATAGACCTAGGGAAAAAGTTAACACAATAACACTTCATAGGAGAAGTGCCTCCTAGGAGAAAATTCGCTGCAACCTTAAGGATTAAAAACATAAAACTATTAAGTATAAGAGAAAATACCAATAAACTGGAATTTTGTCAATGTTAAAAATTACTCTTCAGAATATACCAGTGCACAAAATTTAAAGTACAACTGGGAGAAAAGTTTAGCAGTCTAAATATCCGACAAAAATATAGAAT